TTCTCACAGTTCCATTTTGGATATGCAGCATGCTGCAGTTGTCTCATGGTTCTTGATTGGGACAGCACTTGTATATATGGGATACCAATCCCATCTAGCATGGTTCATGATGATAGGCCTGGACTCATTAGGTATATATATAGACAAAGGTTATATAAAATAGATAAGCTTTAAAGGTATTTTATGTTCATTGTTCTTGATTTGTAAGTTACCTTAAAAGATGCCAGATATTAGACTAGATTTTATTTTTGGAAAGAAATCAGCTAACCTAAATTTTGCCACTGTATCTGGGAAATTTTGAGTCATTGGAAAAAGCAATGACTTGCCTTAAAAGCATAGTTACCAGAACCTCTTGTGAGTGGTGTTAAGCACCATAGTGTAAGCAATTCGAACTTTGAAAGCTACATAAGAACATATGTGAATCTCATGTAAAGGTGCATGAAATGTGTTTGAGCATTTGGGAAACGATTGTGAAACTCAGTAGGGACTTGATTGTTATTCCATAGTTGTTTGGTATTTTGGTCATAACTTCCTAGGGGTATCATTGATTGCAGTGGTTGTTGAACAATTGGAGAGCCTATGAAATACTCCGTTTGTAGGGACATGTTTTGGTTTCATATTCATGTGTGTGGGAGGATGTAGAGTGCTAGAGAGAGAAAAGATATAAGCTGAACTGATTTACTCCCTTCGATTTGTATTTGTACATCTGTGTATTTGAAGTAAGAGACAAATGGTAAGCTAAATTTCTAGAGAGACTGACAATGAAATATATTGTTTGGTCCATATAATCTGTTGGTGCACTTCTAATTTGCTCTATGAACTTATCTCAAAAAGTTCCGTAGATGTTTATAGCTTTCTTCTCTATCGTTTCCATTACTCTTTCACAATGTTTCTGAAGCAACTCCTTACACATTTCTCAATATGCTTTTAGTGCCTTGAAATGGTTTCTCATTTCTCGTTTCCCATTAATTTTTCTGAGCGGTGTTTCTCACTTGTATATCTCATTTCGTTGTCCACATTTGTTTCTTATACTGGTAACTCTTCTTAAAAGTAGATGCTTGACCTGGCTCAGTTTGAATCATTGAAATAAACCACTTACTCAAAACAAATTTCCAAGTTACAAATTAATCATTTCCTTGAAAGTGGTTAACTATTTTATATAAGTTACCTTAAGAAAAAGGAAAACATAAAAGCTAAATCTGAATTTTGGAGTGACACTGGTAATTTCCGGGTAACTAGCACGAGATCTTGTGGTATTAGAAACCTAATGTATTTTGATAAATACAATTGTGTTTCCTAGTAATAAAAGTTATTTCATAAAAATAGTATGTGAATGAGTATATTACAATATGATAATACTTGATAGATGTGAGGATACAAAATAGTTTCTCTTTCTGGATGGATTTTGTGATGTGCTGCTAGATGTAATTCAGTATGTTTATATGCAATTAATAACATATTTTCCTGCACGCTCCTATGGTGCTCCCAGACTTTGGGTGATTCCAGCGAGTGAAGATCCTCTGCTCCTGCGCCTGATTCTGTTCCCAACAACTAAGAGTTGTCTATGACACTGGGAAACTGTGTAGGCTTTGTATGCTGGTGTCAACACAATGCAATATGGATAACAAAAACTTTAAGGATACTTGTAAAGACAAAACTATAGAAATATCTAAATGTAGTATGATGGAAGGTAAATGGAAGTGTAAATCAATTCGACTTCAATTTTACCTGATATGATATATTGGTATACATTTACACCAATGTTGTACCATATTTTTGTGCATATATGAGCTATAACATATTGGCATTGATGTGTCAAACAGGGTGGTGGTATATGTCTGTGTCCTGGACTTGGTGAAAGTGCTGAATCGTATCTCCACACTCTGCATCTCTGTCCTAATCCATATCATGGCTTAGGGGTTTGTAGACTTCAACATGTGTGACAATAGACCTCCCTACAAGTTTGCGTGGTTCCTAAAACACCCTCCTCTCGGCCTTTCTTACAGCTACACTCAATTCTTTTCCAATTCTTTTGTTGTGCCCTTCCTCTCAGTTTGCGCCTCTGCAGCCCACATAACCTGCAGTTGCCAACAGGACTGAGATGGTAAGGCATCAGGCAAAATGGGTCTACTTTGTTTCCCAATGTTGGTCATTTCTATAGGAAAGTGGAAAATTCTTTTCTCATGATACGTGGTACAATTAGATATCTGACATCCTTCAACTGCTCAGCTGCCTTTCTAGCACCCTGGAAGCACTTGATCAGATATCCCCCAAAGACCTGGCCCTGTCTCATTCATGATGGATTTCCCCGATGAGTAGTAAGAGTACCGAGTCAAATCATGGCACCCAAATCATCATCTAATGTTTTGGTGGTATGTAACTTTCGGTAATATCAAAGATGGAGATATTTCGTGCCCTGAATATTGTTCCCTAGTCTCAAGCTAATGCTGGTTTTCCTTCAAGTTTATGTTGACATTGGTACCTAAATTGAATTTTAGGTTTTTCAGTTCTCATGGTAGTCAGAAACTTGAGATTCTGAGCTTTGGATGGTACTGTCTATGCTTCCTTTTTGAATTCAGTTGGGAGATTTCCTTGTACTCACAAAGGCAATGATGTGCATTATAGCATATTGTCAGTTTCTTTCAGCCTAATATACCCAGAGCATAGTTTAAATTGCAAAACAAGTGACTCAGGTACAGACTCAACATAATACTGGTCAAGTTGACTCAATGAGTTTAGCTTATGCTCAAGTGGCACCATTGAGTCTCCAAAGACACACACACACAGAGAAAGAAAGGAAGAGAGGCTTTGTTTTTTTGGAGGCAGGGGGGTGTGGGGGTTGTGGGCGGTGGAGTGTGATAATTCACTCGGTCAAGTCAAAATACTTATTCATAGGTGAATAGTGTAGCTTATTAACTTACCGGTTTTTTAATTAGGTGCATACCTTTGGCTTTTGATGAATCCAAAGTAGTACTTTCAGATATGTGCTTTATGTGAGCTCACATTCACATTATGTGGCCTTTGTATCAAGTTAAATAACAGTAGGGGACTTTTGCATATAGGCAATGATTCAAAAAGCAGACCGCCCAGCGCCTAGGCGGTCCAGAAGGCCAAACTGGGCGGCCAACCAAGGCCTGCGCCCAGCCTAAGGGCGGAATTTTTTTTTTTTAAGTTGTATTGATTTATTTTTGAAATATAAAGGGTTTGATGGATGGGTTTTAGGTTCATTTCAAACTTAAACCCACAAGAACCCATTTTAAAGAGAAAGAAACCTCAAAAAAACTAAATTTTGTGACTTTCATTGGATCAAAGTGCTTCTCAAAGTTACAGAAAACAGATCCAAACATCACCCAGGTAGATTTGATTTAGTTTTGGATATTTATAATCCTATTAGAG